CTTGCACTGACGACCAACTCGTCGCTTCCCTTTCGGGTTCAACTCGAGCAATGGCTTGTCTAGTGATGTCACTTGATGGTTTGTTTCCTCAGAGTATGGCCAATCCATCTCCATTTCTTCCTGCCTATTTGTTTCACAATCGGTTCCTGGTTGGTTCGCTCATTGCCAGAGATCCCTGTTGCTGATCTTTTCTGGCCATCTGATCTTGAGTTGTATTAAGCGAAGACAACTGTTAATGAAGGTCTGTAGTTTGTTTGAGATGCTCTTTGTGACGCGCAGTGCAAGTCTCTGATCCGTATAGTAGCACTGACTAAACGCTTCCTTAAGCACAACTCCAGGAAATCCAGCCAAAAGGTGAACAGAATCACTTATAGTTTACGCATAAATCAACACAAGGACCAAGCTTTTCGTCAACAAGTCAAACCTCATAAAATTCAGATGTTGTAAATCTATCTATTTGGAGTAATTATACCTGAATGACATTTGCACGGTGTGAAAATTCTTCAAAAGAAACTACTTGGACGTCTGGATGCACACTAAGTGGACCAAAGGTAAGAAAATAAATCTTTCAGTGAATGGATTTTGCAGAAATTAAGTTCAAATAATGAGTAGACAGTTGACAGGTCTAAAACTTGTAAATATAAAATAACGGAACCGAAAATCACTTGATATAGGCAAAATATTTCTTAAAACCCCTTGACTATTGCAGCGACATATTAATAATGATAAAACATCTACATTTAAGTCATCTTTTAAATAATGATTTCGTGTAGTTACAATCCAAATAAACTTCATCGTAAACTGAAGGTTTTTCATTAGGTCACAAGAGGGAATAAACTGTCACTTCATTAATTTTATTACTTACCAGCTTTGCATTCGCACACTATGGAAACAGAAGAAAAAAGATGACAACCATCAGAAATATGTACTGAATCGTTCTTGTGTGTTAAAATGTGTTTTCTTTGATTCTGTATTACCTTTTTCGTATTTGAAACGTTTGATCATCCCCTGTGTACCTCTGCTTTTGTGTACTCACTTATATAATACAGAAGATTTGTAGCTTAACTGGATGATTTTGATTTAGTTGTGTTCTCTGAGCTAGCTGGATGGTTTATTTGCAAAGCTTTCATTGGCCTACTAGGCAACATCTTCAGCGCATACACTTCAACCAACCACTTTCACGTTCACCGGGAGAGATAACTCACAAGCTCATGGAAAAATCTAAAAGCTCACTTCAAATTGAAGCATGCGCTTAAGATTTTGTCTAGTAGGTCAATAAAAGCTTCAGAAATAAACCATTCAGCTCGGAGTACTTAATTATGCAAAACATCAATCCCTTTTTAAGACTTGAATACGTTTATACTATTCAACTGTGTATTAAGGCGGTTTCATCAAATTAACTGGTTCACTTGTAGTATGATTGAATACTTAATACTTCATAGCTTTCTGTTAGACATCAGCAAGTGGTCTAAGTCAAATGATCTTATGTTAAATCCTTCCAAATATCAGGCAGTTAACTTTACTTTCAAGCATCGACGTGACATACATGAACTAGTTAGCTCCCATGATGCCTGTAGCATAGATGGCACTGAAGTCGGAACCAAGTCAAGCATTAAATATCTTGGATTAGTTCTTTCCTCTGACCTTTAATGATCATCCTACATCTTATCAATCTCTCGTCTTACCTTCTACATTAAAAAGTTAAGACAATCAGGTATCAACCAACCTTTAGTTCTGCAATTTTTAAACTCCTGTATTTTACCTATTGTACTCTATTGTTCTCCTTTAATCTTTCCTGGTCTTCTCAAAAAAGACTATATCATATTACGAAGGGTATTATATGCTGTGAGTAGGGCTTGTGGTTTGCTACTGCGTGAGCTCGCCAATACTATAGTCGAGAGACACATAAATTCTTGTACAAAATGGGCAAAAGCCGCACCGTCAGACCATCTGCACTCTCTTTATTCACAACTATCTCCTTGTATCTCATCAGGTTGGACTAGAAGTCAATATAAAAAGTTATATGCTCGAACCACTAAGTACAAAAATTCTACAATACCGTATTTAGCCCGTATTTTTTGTGATGAAGACTCTGTTAGACGTGAAACATATAAGTTACTATGTAATTTGCAAAGTGAATCGACCCTTTCATCGTTCGTTCATCTTTCTGTAATTTGATGGTGTCACACTTTCTATCGTTTAATCATCACTTTGCTATTTTCATTCTTATTTGTTATTATTAATACTATAATTTTATACCTTATGCATATTTTTCTCCGTATTGCATACAGTAATTTACTAAATAGCTGCTGTAACGTTTTGTTATTATTATTATTAAGTAATGATTATTTTTTGTCATTTTGAGCAAATTAGATGCAATATTGTACTGAATGCTGAAAATTCCTTGCTGTATCATTTTGGAATAAAGCAAATTATTATTATTACTTCGACTAATATGAATGTATGCTTTATTCTACATCAAAATTATACCAACCGTGTAGTTATTTTAGTCAATACGAATTTTCTTTCCAACGAAGTCATCAACTAGGCTGTAAATTCGTGTATTTATAGTAAGTGGGTGGGAAAGTTCATGAATAATTTTCGGTCAAGGGTACAAGTAATAAAATTACAATTAGGAATTAAAATGCCATAATGAACAGGAGGATGGATCAAAAATCACTCAAACAAAGTAACATCATAATTACTGAGAAGACTGACATATTGTACAATAAGGGGTTTAGAAATGTAGAATTAACGAAACAGTCAGGATGACTGGATACAAGATCTAGTGGGATCATAACTAATGTGACGAACAGTTTTTATGCCATTAGGGATTACATATGTAGAAATAATAAAATGACAAAATAGACAGGAAGTTCGTATGTTAAAATTTGGTAGTGTAAAAAAGGATTAAGTAAAACTTAAAAATAACATGAATAAACAGGAATTTTGAAAAAGAAAGAATTACCTGTTTATGATGGCCATGTCAGGGACAAGGGTTGGACGTATTTCTTTTGGATACACTGCGTGGGTTTGAGCTTTTGGATGGCTAGTGCCTCGGCTATGCCCAGATGTGTTGATTTTACTCCCTGGGCACAACTATACTGAATAGTCATTTTCGCACACTTATTACGTCATCCCAACTTCTCCCCCTTTCCTAACTTCCAATTAGTCACCGCTTCTAGATTACACCTTATATTACGTAATACATTTTCTAGGACAAATTTTACCGGTATCTGATTGGTCTCATGAATTCTTTGTTGAATATAATTACGATTGTACGGCCTATGAGAATGAATCGTAGAGAAGAAAATTTTCTTCCCTGTTTACTTCTTTTTACAAATTGTTACCTATTTCAGTAACGACCACTGGCTACTGTTATTAACTGACGTTGTATATATATATATATATTATTTGTGGTTACAGCTTGATTCCACACCGTATTATTTGGTACAGGTATGGAATTTTTAGCCCAAACTTTGCAGGCCGACCATAGATATCAGGTGTGCGTCGGCAGGGGATCGAACCCTGGACCATGTGCATGATTGGCGAGAGTCATAACCGCTGTGCCACCGACGTCTGAATGGCTATATAGCTCTGCAGTGATGTTGCAAGAAGGATATCTTCTTTCTGACTTAAATGTCCTTAAATAACGTAATAACCTGGCGACACTACAATTACACACTTCGATAGAAACATTTATATAATAATGGTAACAAATCCTCCAATCTGCTAATTCAATTTTAATTTTACACGAAACACTGGTTAAGGGTGAGATGGGAAAGTTCAACGTCCCTTTTCAATGAAATCACTCCTAATGACTTAACTTTCGCACCTTTCTGCTCGTGAGTGGTATGAAATAAATTCCCGCTGGAAATGCCAGTAATTTACAACAATGTTCGACGTCATGTTTACGCACTGTTTCAAACACTGATGTTATTAATTTCTCTCAGAACAGATGAAATTCCAAATTTTACTCGATTCAAGAATGATCTAATAATAATAATCTACTTTATTCCGAAAACAGTATTTATGGGACAGAATGGAATTCTCAGCATCTGTAACAATATTGCACCTGATTTATTCAATATATATAAAATATTCAAAACAGGAATTTCTCCACATTTATGCTGTAAAGTCAAAAATATTCGAAGTACAAAATGAGAATAATAACTCTAATAATTATAACAGTGAGTTTATTTCAGACAGTATTGTCGATTCAGTTTGGAAATTTTAGCGTGTTATAGATTACTGAATCTACTGTTCTGTCGATATAGAATGGTGAGGGGAAAGACAAAATCAACAGTTATTACACACCTTAAATAATGTTTACACTTATGAGAAAATAAATAAAAACAAGAAATTGAGAGGATTATGAATATAGGAAGAAAAATAACAATAAAGCTTGATGGAATAAGGATGGAAGAAATGGTTTATTTAGTAGTACAAAGAAGGTTAGTTAGTTCGTCCCTGACACTATTTTCTTCACATAAAATGCGTGCCAAATATGGCATAGTGGAATTTTTATACTTGGACGTACGTACATAAAATCTGTTGAATTGACTTATTGTTCTACCTGAGGAGACACAAGGTGAAAGCTGCGTTTGCTGCAGTGGATACTCACAGTCTGACAGGACTCCTTTAGCAAATTCGGTGCATGAAATCAACTGCCTATCAATGACGATGACGTCAACGGTATTGCCATATTGGATACCAACACTCACCCCACTGACATTCTTCAGAGTTTTACGAAGAATGACATAGTCTTTTTTGAGCAATCCAGGAGAGAATAATCAAGGGTGAACAATCAAGATGAATAGGTAAGATGAACGAGTTGATTTATACCTGAATGTCCTAACTTCTTAATGTAAAACGTTAGTCGAAATATTCTTTTAGAGATGACTAGAATAAACATGATCCGAAAAAGTTTAATCGAGGAGTAAAATTCAAGAAAAATTATAAATAAAATGCACCACCGATCAAGTCGGCATAATACTCACCATTTGTCGATCCAAACACTACGAGGACACAAAATACAACGCAGGCTAGATATTTAGAATTCATAATTGTGCAATTGTGACAACTTGATGAATATGTATCTTTATATACTTGTTCACAACATTTCGAACACTTGCTCACTTTTTCAACTTTCATAAGTGTTTATGTTAAATTAGCAAAGCTACTCGGATTATCTTGTTTCCATAATTGGTGTCTGATTACACGATAATAAACTTTTATCGTGAGAAAATCTGCGCACATTAATGTACAATTCTCCGGTCCATTTGTTCACATCAAACTAAAGGCGACTGTCTTCATGCTATTTTTTTTGAACTGGAAAACATTGAAACAAGTTCTAAAAATGTTATCACATATATGAATATTGTTCTAGTTTTTTTTGTTAATTTCAACAGTGAACAATAAACAAAATTTTTTCTCACAAATTTGGTCACTTTCGCATGTAAGATTGAGTATTATTTACAATCAGAACATGAAATTTTATACATGCACAGTATACAACCTTGAAGCTTCACACAGAAAACAAGAAATACTAATATAATTTAAGACTAAAATATAACCACACTTATAATTTGAGAATTGCTTAAACACTGGCAATATGCAGAGTTCAGGGTGCGAGATTTTACCAGAGTATCCTTAGGAAACGAAATTAGTTAGATATGATACCACTCATATGAACCAGAAGTGTTTTCCAGACAGATCGATGGGATGTTAACACCGGAAAGCAGTTTGACTCATTTTGGGAAAAACTCCTCAGCAATTTACGTGGTCTGATTGAGCCCAGAGAGCCGAATCATTTGAATCCACCCTATTCCTCGCTAGCAAACTTCTGTTTAATTTGCAACTTTTAAATCGGATCGTCCAAATAGCTAACGAGAAATCAGATGGTTTCAAAGGATTTGACTCTGTGAGTTCAGTGAGGTTCATTCATAGATCTATTCTACCTAATCTCGTGGATTATTATTATTTCCTTGCGTTCCGTTTGGAGCATACGGCTTCAACAACATATATCCACTTTCTTCTGTTTCCTGCCATCCTCTTCAGCTACGTTCACGACTGACCAGACTCTCTCATCTCTTCTTCACAAGATCTCCTTCATGTCACACCAGGACGACCCACTAGTCGCTTCACATTTAGATTCCACTCCTCTCCACTTTCTCCTACATATTTGTTGAGCGATCGGCTCTTGGTTGGTTCATTCCACTGCAAAATCTCTTGCTGCATATTCTCTCTAGCCATTTGATCTTAAGCATGGAGACAGACAAGGCAGATGTTGATGAAAGTCCGCTACCTGTTGTAAATCCTTTTCGTGACACGCTGGGCAGGGACTGACTGACTGACACTGGTGTTGAGAATGCGAATCTTGTTCCTTATTCTGAGTGCGGAAGATTTCTAAACTGGTTTCAGGTTGATGAGGGCGTATCTTGCCTATCTCGTGGATACATAACACAAATCGATGTTAACAAGGCTTTTAAATTTATCAACCGTATTCTAGCTTATCTTATTTTTGCCTCAAGAGTTCACCTGTCACACATTGCTGAAGTGGTTGAAATCCATGTTATTAAGTCTGATTTATGTATCCAAGAGAAGTTGATTCAGAGGTTTTCCTTATCGTCACTGTAAATATTTTCACTATCTGAATAAAAATGCTCATTAAAATTATCAAAAGAATGGTTACTGAACAAAGAATATTCTTTTCGATAACTTCCTCTTCATTGAGTCAATAATAGTGTTATCAATGGATTACAATACGTTAGCGTCAACCTAACAACACACTGAATATCAGAAAAAGTAGTAAAGATAATTATACAAATTCACGAATTTATAATCTCCACTGAAGTCCATGGCAGTGGTATTGGCTGGACTTGTTTCTTCTGCACACAAAGCACTGATTGTTTCAAGCAAATCATGGCAGCCCCAAAAGTTTTGAGGATGCGCTACCTGGACTTTTTTGGCAATTCGTTTAGTACCCGATAGATGATAGAGAAGGAATCTTGAATGCTGGCTTTGTGGCCGGCCGGCCAGTTTGGACCAGGTGGTCTTATGTCAAACATTTGATGATTTTTACTACACCTTTACTTAGCCCTACTGGGGAATGCTTTTGAGCATGAAAAATGAAGTTCCTAGAACAATGGCCAATATGACTCGCTCCACAAGCGCAGCTGAATTGGTAGACACAATTAAAAGTGACTAGTCTGTAATCCTTTGATATTATTACTGGTTCGATGTTATTTAAACATTAATTTTGTTGAAAACACTAATTCATTCACTACTTTCACTATCCTTTATTTGCCGCATAAACTATCTTAATTTTATCTAGTATTCTATTCAGCATAACATTTTTATACTTGAACTGCAGTTCCACTGATCTTAAAAAATCAATATTAATTGAAAGACTGCTAGTATTGTCAGTGACCATTATCCCAGAATAATATGTATATTAGTCGGCTGGAAGCAATCGGCAAGAATGCCAGTCGAACCCGTACCTTAACTTCGTAGACTTCAAAAGACCTTCAACAGACAGTGTTGATCGAGAATTGATTCGGAAACTACTTCAGCATTGCGGCGTGCAATGCCAAAGTCTTATATCAACCTCATTCAGCAGAAACATGACAACACACTGTTTAAACCACAGCTTGTGGAACGGATGAATATGTCAAATGCAGTCAGAATCGGAAAGGAAAGATAAACTTCATCAATCTGCAACCAGTTTGGAAATCTTCTGCACTCCACAGCATATAGAACAAGATTCATATTTGCAACACAAATATCAAGTCATTCGGTTCTTCTTTATGGGCCAGAAACTTTCACTGAGCGTTACAAAAAGTATTCCAACAAGTTACAGACTCTATCAACAGCTGCCATCGCTGTCTCCATATTCAAAATCAAATGGCCGGTCAGAAAGAATTGGCGGCAAAAAGCTATGGAATCAAACTAACCAAGAAATTGCCGTTCAACTCATAGTTAGAAGAAAATGGAGTTGCATATGACATCGAAAAAAATCGAGCGCAGTGTAGGCCATCATTCGAGGGGAACCCGAATAGGTAACGACATGTGCGTTGTTTGTGAGAGGGTGACGTGGAGGATATTGTGCAAAAAAGGAGATGAGAAGTTATAGGTAATCGTGAGCCCATTTAAGGAAGACTGAAGAAAACAGAAGAAAGTGGAGGTGTGCTGTTGAAGCCCTATGTCTCACTCGGAATTCAAGGAAACAAGGGCAGTGTGATAAGAAGAAGCTGACTTCTGCGTTCAGAAATAATTCTCTGTAGTTCATCAACTATTACTTTTACCTTTCAAGGTAATTTCGTCGTTTGTTTGTTTATTTACTAATCTTTCAGTTCATCTTCTATGCTCTAACCAGGTAGGCATGCTTCAGCATTTCTACTCTCCGTCCATTATATTATTTCATTGTCCAGTGATTATTTATTAGCCTAATCTTGACCTAGCCAACCAATTGCAGACGCACTGATAACCTTGAACGCATACCATTCATTGCACTGCACAACCTGCCATTATTACAGAGCCCGTATGAACGCTGTACAAGGACTGGTATGCGAATTCTATCCTGATCTCGTTTTTAGGTACTGTTTAGACAATAGGTTGGTTGGTATTAGGTTAAGTGTTATAGTCAGGAATAGAGTTAATGTTAGGGTGCTGATAGGGGATAAGCATTGAAGTTAGGGCTAAGGAAAGGATTAGGGCAAGGATTAGAGTTAAGGATTAGAACTAAAGTGTTTCATTATTGTCTGTATATTTCTTATAAATAAATAAATGTGAGAAGAGTGCATCGATTTCCATCTGGATGGACATTTCTTGATAACTTGAAAACTGACACTCTTCATTGTAATTGGGAAATATTTTCCAGTTTTGTCGAGGTGAAATATCGTCTTTCATTTGCTTCCTTACTATTACGTTGATTTTCCTCGTTAATAAACGAATTTTTATGTGGAATACACGGCAGGTTCGGCAATGCAACAAATGGTATGTCTTCAATCTCACTAGTGTTTTCGCGCTCCACGATAGCTAATCTTTACATTTGTTCATTGACTGTTTTACTACTATTTCATCTCCTTATATCGTAATCTACGATGTCTTAGCCACCTGATTCCTAATCACACTACTAATTACCGGTAATATATTGCTTCGAATTTACAGTATGATTTGTCGTCTTACGCGAAAAATGTTTCCACATTATATAGGTAATGAATTATGTCTCTTTTGTTCCCAAATGTTTGTTTATATATATATTGTTGTGTAGACATGAAAAAGTATATTTTGAGTTGATCATACCACTGAACTAAATCAAGCTATTCACACTTTCTTACTGACGTCTAACACTTACAAATTTCATGCAAATTCTCACCTTAGTGCCTTCTTCGAATATTTACAGAGGAATAATTTAAATGAATTCAGTTCATCCCACATTGTCGATTGTTCTAGAGTCAAAAATTTAGTTATTCCTTGTAACTTCTGGGCACGTTCATTAAAACACCAAGTGAAATACCTCATTCATCAGTGTAAACAAAACTGCACAAAACACTCTGCTTTTTGTCTTGCTGTTAAGTGCTAAAATGAGACCATCGAATATCTAAACAACAGAATGAATCTAAAAATTGTCATTGGCTTCCTTTCGTCCTTTCTACATTGTTCCACAAAGGATTTTTCAATACTCCTCTTCGTCACATAATCTCACCTTCGCCTACTAAAGATTCTTCTGCAAGACATAGCACACTTGTTGCTTATCATAAAAGCTTGTTAATAGCACACATCACACAACTAAGTCGAAATCACTTGACCAGCTAAATTAATGCTTTAGTTCCCAGGATCTTTTAACAAATAAGTACTCAATGTCAGTAGAAGTTTCACCATTGTCGAATGGATCAAATAAAGTATAACTATATTTCAATGGTTTACACACAATTATAAGTTTTGTTATTGGTAATATTTCGAGGAAAATTACTGTCCGTGTTCACACCAATGTTACAGTTACTTTGTTTTTTAATTCACACATTTATGATTTGTATTCATATATAGTTCATTTTTGTGTATTCAGAATTATATTCCAGGTTGCTGGCAGTTGTACTGAGTCACCTTTTTTACATGTATCCGGGGTGACCTTAATGAATATAGATTCTGTC